CGCACACCCATTCTCTTCTTCCACGTTCAAATTTTCCTATTACATTCTCTCCTACGATTTAAATCTGCTCTTGGGATCCTGAGATTTAAATAATTCTCCTCATAATGGAGGTTCGGCCAGAGTGACTGACTGTGGCCCTGATTTAGCCGTTGGAACTACACCAGCTTTTCCTTCTAGGTCACCTCCAAAGATGAGATCAGATAGGGGTACTCTCAGCAACCCAACAAGCCTCTGTGGAAGCTTCCTACTTGCCCACAGAGAATGAGGACCATGTGGCATTCAGCTGCTTCCATGCTCGTATGATCACATGAGCCTTTTGACTTTGGGGATAATCAACTCCATGATACTACTCTCTCTCTCTCTAAATTATAATATAATATAATATAATATAATATAATATAATATAATATAATATAATATAATAATTCTAAATAAATATATGCTTATAGATATATAAAATAATATATTTATTATTATATTATCAATTTATAAGTTTTATATAATTTATATATATAAATTATCTACTTGAGAGAGAAAGAGCACAACAGAGGGCACAAGAAGGGGAGAGGCAGAGGAATAGAAAGAAGCAGAGAAAGAAGCAGACTCCCCACTGATCAGGAGCCCCCATGTAGGGCTCAGTAGATCCCAGGACCACAACCTGAGCCAAAGACAGATGCTTAATCAATGGAGCCACCCAGGGGCTCCTCCATGATATCATCCTTTTAGGTAAAGTGGAGCCAACAAGCCTACACTTGGTGTTTTCAGGAACTGCAAGCTACAAGAAGAGCAAACAGCAATTGCAGTGTTTTCAGCTTTACTTTTTCGTGTTCAGTAGTTTTGAATTCAGCTGAAACAACAACTGACTTTGCAAAATCCGATTTACCCGACCACACTTGGTACAAGCATGGGTCCTGCAGCCAAAACTGAGTAAGTCTGTGAAGTATTAGAACAAAACCAATCTTCCCCACAAGTCAGAGTAAGACTAATAGTACATTTTTTTTTTAAAGTCTTCCAAATCTTTTCACATGCATGGTCTCGTTTTATTTCTCCTTACAATGAAGGTGGTTCGGGCCCCTAAGAAATGTAGGGCCAGCTTAACTTAAAATATCACACTTTAACTTAAAATATCGTACTACAGTCTTCGCGAAGAGCCAGTCACGTGCCATCAGTGAGGCACTTTCAGTGAGGCATCATAAGGCAGGTTGCCAATGACACACCGTAAGCAGCATATGCTTTCAGGACCCTGGAACTGCAAAGTCATTGTCTACAGAGATGGACTATGATGCTTTTGCTTGGCGCTCTTCGGTATGATGCTTTGTAATCAAAGGTGTTGCCTCAACTCTACTATCCTCCATATCTCGCTTTAGCAAGAGGGATCCACTCCCAGTCAACCCAGTCATCTGGGCTGTGACACAGTCTGGCTGATAAATGGAGGCAGCCAAGCAAAACAGCTACCGCCAGCCCTCGCCGGAGCTTGCCAGCTCCAGCTACCTCCATGTATTTGAGTCGGTCAGTGGGGTGTCCGCCCCATTTTCCCTGGTGAGAAGCTCGTGTTTCTATAAATAAATAAATAAATACCCAGAAAAATTCACGACTCTGTCACAGATGGCAGAAAAATGTGTTCTGTGTATCTGACTATTCCCTTAAGAGCACATTTTCTTTTCACCCTAGGAACGCTATCAGACAAAACGTGGTTCAATACTGGCATCCTGTGGCCAGAGAAATTCATCAAATCCCTGCAAATCTCAGATCCTCGGGTTCTGAACATTCCTGGCTCTCTGTACCAAGCAGCTTTTCACTATTTTCTGAAGGCTGGTCAGAACCTCGCATCGTATGTGAAGGCACCTTAGGTTAAGATGTATTTTGATCAACTATCATTTCAGGAGGCTGACCGGTTCGTGTATATTAGGGTGAAAATAAATGATAATAGAAAGTCTAGAGAATGTCACCCAACAACAACAACAACATTTGATATGAAATCGCAGAAGCTCTGCACGTTCACACCGAGCTTTTTTCCTAACAAGGAGGCAGTTGGGAGAGGAGGCGAGGTGGTGGGCAAGACTCGGCTGCCTGTGGGTCCGTGTATGAGTGTTTTGTTTTGGCCAAAGGCTAGGAAAACACTTGCTATTGCAGCAATAAATATTATGAATTTTCTTTATTTTACTACAAGAATGCTGCCTAAGAGGAAAATCAAACAAAATTATGGAGGATTGTTGTTTTTTGCTACTCACTTTCAAGGCGGCTATAAAGATAAAAGGTTACAAGGCTCGCAGTTCAAAGACAGAATTGCCATGCTCCCTGGTAAGACTTAATGGCATTTCTGAGATCCGAATAACCATTATGGGACTGCTGCATCGCGGCTGCTTTCGCAAATGGCTACACTAAATTTGGAGTCCTTGGAGATGTTTGAGACATCATTAGAGACAGGAAAAAAACAAAAAAATTTCAAGATCACATAAGCATGGAAAAGTGTCAAAGAAGGATCTAGTGTGAAAACTGGAAGTCGGTAGGCACTGACAAAGGAATGGTGCAAAATATGTACGTGGAAGCGATGGGAAGGGATGTTCAGAGTTGGCTGCCTCCCAATGGGCGGAGCACAAGGCCTACTATGTGGGAGAAAGCATGGCATCGGCTCTCTCATCAAGCTCCGCCTCATCATGGCCCAACTCCAGGGCTACCAGCCCTCCCTCCCTCAGTTCACGGGCTTTCCCATGGCTCTCAGGGAATTGAACTCTCTCTCACCGGGGTCTGAGACACACAGACCTTGCAATGATGATCCCTAGTCTGTTCCAGGCATTGGTAATGAGGACAGCAACCCTATGGGCAGTTATTGGTTAACAAGATCCTTTTCCCTTTTCAGAAACGCCTCTGTGTGTATTGCCTACAACAGAGAAAATCTAACTACAAATACTCCACAGAAAACGAGTGTGACCTAATAGGAAATAGAAGTGAAATACCCTGCGGGACAATCAGTGGGCCCTTGTTAGCCTTAAGGAACCCAACTTTTAGAATAACACCTCCTCAGGGAGTCAGTGTTGCTGGCTAGAAAACAAAATTTAGATATAAATAGTAGCATAAGGTCTAAAGATACCAAACACCAATTAAAAGCTAATAAAGAACAGTAGCAAGACTCTCTTTTATTTTTATTTATTTATATATTTAGTTATATATTTATTATTTTATTATTATTATTATTATTATTTTAGCAAAAGTCCATTTTAAATGGCTGACTTTTTTTTAATTTTTTTTAATTTTTATTTTATTTATGATAGTCACACAGAGAGAGAGAGAGGCAGAGACACAGGCAGAGGGAGAAGCAGGCTCCATGCACCGGGAGCCCGACGTGGGATTCGATCCTGGGTCTCCAGGATCGCGCCCTGGGCCAAAGGCAGGCGCCAAACCGGTGCGCCACCCAGGGATCCCTAAATGGCTGACTTCTAAATGAGTTTGTGGAGCACACTGGTGAGCCAATATGTATACATGTTTTGAGGGGCTTTTTTTTTTTTTTTTTTTTTTTAGGTTTAGTAACACTGACATTATTTATTAACAATTCTATCAGAAATATCAGAAATCTCCCTCAACTTCTTGCTGGGCTTTTAAGAATGGATTATGGTCAGAGAAGTCAATGAAAATGCATGCAAAGAACAATCATTCTCTAAACTCACTACACTCATCCCAACTCACAGGCAAAAACATGGCCTCTGGCTACATTTTTTTTTTTACTTGTCTCTTGTGCCCCAGAAAGAGCATAGACTCTGAAGCCCAGCAGCTGTGGGTACAAATCCTAGCTCAATGGTTTAAAATCTGTACACGCAGAAATAAATTCCCTATGTCCCTGAGTCCCAGTTTCCCATTGAGGAGAGAAGAACAAACTCTCTCTCTCTCTCTCTCTCTCTCTCTCTCTCTCTCACAGAGCCTGTGGATGATGACATGAGATGACATGAGATGATGTGAGAGGAGGGCCTTACTCAGCAGAGACCCTTCCAGAGGGGTAGGCTTTCCACAGAGGCTGCTCCCAAGCACCCTTTCTACCTCCTCATATCCCATATTGCCTCTTCTCCCAACTTACCTGGTCACCAAGCCCTTCTGCTTTCTCCCCCTTTAACATGGTTCACTTTCTCTTGGATTCTGCGGGCCTTGTCCTCGGTCAGACCTTTCTTAATCCTTGTGCGGGGTTACCGTGGTAACTACCAGTCTTGAATCTCTTCAGCCCTGACCCTGTCTAATCCACCCTCCCTGTACCCAGGATGATTTTTATAAAATACAACACTGCTTGAGTTTGAATTCTGGCTGCATGACTTGGAACAAGGCACAGAAACTCTCCCACGTTATGACTCAAAATCTATAAAACAGGGATAATAAACTTTTGCCAACTCAGAACACTGTTATAAGGATTAAATAAGGTCAAATATGTGCTAACGCACAGAAATCACACAATCCATGGGAGGTGTTGTTATTCTTCTCTTCGGTGTTCTTGCTGTTCTTAGGACCCTTTGCGGTTCACTATGCCCATTTACCAGGGTTGTGTCGTAATCACGACATGGAGGACCCTCTGTGGGTCTCTGCCTCACTCCCTACCCAATCTCACATCACTCGGCAGGTAGCATGTTATGATATAGAATCAATAAACTGAGTTCAACCCAGAGTAGAAAATAATTAGGTTAGTAAGGGAGTCGGGAAGGCAATGAGGTCATTTCCAGAACTGCTGATAAAATTCTATCTAAAGAAGCTGTTCTCTTAAGAAGTAATTAGAGCAGCTCAAACTAAAATATCCTGCAAGGATGGAACGGCTGTAACCCAAACATCCTTCCTGCTTTTTCTGCTAGTCCTAATTAAAATGCAAAAATGTATTTCAATGAGCAGTTGCCTTGCTCACGTTGTTGAACATTAAGGGGTGTGTGTGGTGGGGGGGGTGTGGGGGTATGGTTGTGTGTACCCATAGACTGGGTTTTCTATAACACGGTCTCTCAAGAGGTCCCGAAACTGTGTAAAAGTCTTACCTGACAGTCTTCTAAACCACTTGGGTTTCTTGTCCCAGATAATAAAGAGATAGTATGCAGGGACCCCCGTCAGAGTAATGATGAAGCCAATCCCTGTACTAAATGGGTCCGAATACAGGGAAAGGGCAACCATGAAGAGACACGTGAAGGAAAACAAGGCTGGGATGAACAGCGGCACCTGGAGCAAAGCACAGGGGGGGAAAACAAATCATTTCAAACAGTTCCAGAGACAGAAGGTGGGTTCAAGAGGAGCTCATCAGTCATTGGATTGGGTGATCCCCACCAGCCGCGTGAGGCGGTGACAAGCACCAGCTGACCTACCTTACTAGCAGCATCTCTTTAACAGGGCACACAGAATGGAGCAACCACACTCTCTTAATTTTTTTTTAAATTTTGAATAGAATAAAACCTAAGGATAAATAAGCATGTTTCATTGGAGATGCTTTGTTTGAATTGTTTGACTAGGTAAGTACCACTATGACTGACGTTTTTTATTTTAAAAGGTTGGCTCTGGGATAATTATGATTAGAATCTGCTTTAATGTGGAGTCAAGAGCACGGGCTGCTTGTTACATGTTACAGCCTTTCAGTGCATATTGATTTTCTGTTGGAGACTCACAATAAGAACTGACAGGAATAAAACAGACCAACTCCTATTCAACCGCTAATAAAGATGTTGCTAGCATTAGGCTATGGATGTAATTAGAAACAAATTCTGACAACACGACTGACGACATTTTCTGTGTTATTTCTTAAAAGCAAATAAATAGTGAGGTCAGATCAATCCATGAACGTTTGCAGCTAGAGACGAGAAACATTCGTCAGCCCTCCCAAAAGGAAAGCTTCGCAATGGTGAATGCGGTACGTACATACATTTTCACACGCCCTGTGTATTCACACTATTATTCCTTCTAGACCATATAATGTAGAAAAAGGACAACGTAATAAGTCATAACATTTAAGAATACTCAAAAAGCAGGGTCTTTTTTAGAGTTTCAATTAGTGGCAACTCTGTAGGTATCCCCCCGCCCCGGCTCAGCACGCCTATCCACAATTACTCAGCGGACAGACACAAGTATCCCATATCCCACACTTTGAACACGTGGGGTCATTAGACACATCCAAGAAAAAGCAACATTTTTCAGAAAAGTGACATACAAAGTTGGGTATACATCACATAAATGACCCGATGAGTTATTTTTCCAAGCTAACATAAATCCAACATCAAGGCACTAACTGAGAGAGTTAAACATTTGATTCCAGAGGATGCTGTCCCCACCCAAGCTCCCCATCACCAACTTATAACAACGAGAAGACTATGTATTAGAAGAAAGATTTATGGAAACCCATCAAGATTACTGGGCAGCCCGGGTGGCTCAGCGGTTTAGCGCCGCCTTCAGCTCAGGGCGTGATCCTGGAGACCCGGGATCGAGTCCCACATCAGGCTCCCTGCATGGAGCCTGCTTCTCTCTCTGCCTCTCTCCCTCTGTGTCTCTCATAAATAAATAAATAAAATCTTAAAAAAAAAAAAAGATTACTGAGGTTACCTTGAAAGGACGATGCATATCTGGGCGTTTGTATCGAAGATAAATCAGCCCAGCAACTGCCAGCCCAATAAAAAGCCACCTGGCAAAACTGAGGAAATTCAAAAGACTGTAGAGGTCCCCAGAGAAGAGCATTATCATCGTCAAAGGGTGCTAAGGGGGAAGGGGGAGAAAAACCATGCTCGGTGAGTCAAAAGAGAACACAGCTGGTAACAAACAATAACATCACTACACATTACGATTCCCCTTTTCATATGATTAGTTACACGGATAAACTACGACAGTGATTAAAAACCTATATTCGACTGACTTCCTATCTATATTCTGCTCTTATACCCCATTACGCACCAGTAACAGCCTGGGAAGAGCATCATCATTACCACTTAATCAGATGGAATTTTATACAGATGTTCAGTTTTCCGTTGTGCGTGTGTGTGTGTGTGTGTGTGTGTGTGTTTTCATCTGAGAGAAGAGAGCGTGTTTCCAAAGTGTAAAACGCAGGATATTCACTGACTTACATTTAAAGACCCAGAGGCTGAGATGAGAAGCGAATAACTAAGACTGAAAATCAAGTGTACCCAATTAGAAAATTCCCAGAGAGCTCTGTAAATGGTTCCTGACAAGCCCTTGGCTACACACACCCTGGAAACACAGGCACCTCTCAGTGACTCTGTCGTCTCCTGAATGCAAATTATTGACCTCCCCTTCCTCAACACTTGCTCTGCCCGTGTGCTTGCCATGTGTGACCCTCAAGAGCACAGAAGAGAAGGAAGCCCAGAGATCAGCCTAGCAAGTCTCTGCAGCTCCACATGCCAAGGGCAGCTCCACTGATAGCAGAGGCTTCAAATGAAAATGAAAATGAAATGAAATGAAAGCCCCTTCACGGAATAGTACATTCTGTTCCCACAAGTGACGTTGACTTCCAGAGTCCGCACAGAGCGTACGCACACTTTCTGGAGAGCTTTCAAGGAAACGTAATGACACAAATGCATGAAACAGAATGTCCAGTATAGTCTGTGGCGCTCCTGACAGCCAAGTCCACTTGACAAAAATATTACCAAATAGCAGGTGAAAATGAACAGAACGTTGCCAATGGGTATTTAAGGGCTTCTACACCTGACACAGCCACGTGTGTCCCACACTTCACGAACACCTTGCGTTAAGAATTCTACAACCCAAATTTCAGCTGCGGTGCTTTGTCCTTCTTCCCTTTAGAGTTGCTCTCAAATATCTCATTTTTAATCACAGAATCACTGCAGTGCCTAGGGCTTCAGCGATTTTTTTTTCTATAATTTTGTATGCAACTCGTTATAAGGTGCCTATGATACTACGATGTACCTCTAGGTGTTTTTGGACTGGGGCTTTCAGCTTCACTTTCAGTATGCAGAACTGGGACTTGTTGCTCTACATCCTTTTCTGTGAGGCTCTGTGTCGAGGACAGGAGCCAAGGTAATCATTTCCCTTAGACCTCGCGAGTTTCTACAAAGGGGAAAGAGAAGTGATGGGTCCCAACGCATCAAATATGCATCAGAAATACTGACTAAAGGGAAGCGATGGAAAATATCTTGCCTCCCAAACTCCACCAAGATATACACAGAGCCAATTTAGCAATGAACGGGAAAGTAAAGCACCATCTGAATTCTGCTTTGAAATCCTCTTCGCTAACCTGTTATTCAAGCTTATATCTAGGTATACTTTTTAATATGCATTACCAAAACAATAACAGCTGGCAGAGGAGTGTGCTTGCGGACATGAATCATGGAGAGGATTTCTGGAAGTTGACCCTCTCGAGACGCAACATAGAATAACCTGATGGGAGAAAAATGTGGGTGGAATTGACTGTAAAATTGATCATTTCAAAGGGAAAAATCCAGAAATCTAAGAGAAAACTTGCATCTACTATTATAGCAACTGGTTTGACATTTCTTAGGTGATTATTCAGGTTCCGCTGTCCCGGTAAGGCAGAGAAACATCAAAAGAAACCTGCCTTCGAATTTTATAAAATCTGCCAACATTTATCTTATTCTTTGAGGAGGAACAATAGCAACATCCGACTCAGCATAGCTCTCCCTACATATAAATAGTTCTAGGTTCCGAGTGTCGTACGTGTGCTGTCAATCCAATCGAGTCCAATGTACACACACATGCAAATGTGTGTACGCACAGACATGCACGTGTACACACACATAACAGTTACATTTTTCTGATTGGATCTTAATCTTATGGTAAAATAAAAGGGACTTTTGCAGCAAACAAAACCAAAGGGATACAGATGGCGGGGTGGTGATTTCTGGTGTCTCTTACTTTACTTTTTTCTTGTCACCCTTGGAGAAACAAAAGATTTTTATCACCAGAAATAAAATGCTGTTGTTGAACTCTGCAGACATTCTATTTAAAAAAATAATAATAATAAAAGAAGAAAGAAAGAAAGAAAGAAGAAAAGAAAAGAAAGAAAGGAAAAGAAGAGAAAAGAAAGAAAAGAAAAGAAAAGAAAAGAAAAGAAAAGAAAAGAAAAGAAAAGAAAAATTGCTCCATGCCCAGCTGCAGCGTAGACTATGAGTAGACAAGCAGTGCCCTCTAATGGGCAGAACGAGCCATGCTACCGATGCTCAGACGAAGACTTCAATCCTACATGTCTCTTTAAAAACAACAGCTTTGCAGGCACTATTTCTTTTCCTTTTAAAACTACCCTCATCACAGCCAATCTCAAAAACAGAAATGCATTTCTGGAAATGCTTGAACTCACTCACCTGGAGACAGCAAACACACCACCATTCATGGAGCCAAAGCAGGAGAGGGCAACAAAGATCGGGACTGCTAATGAGAAATTTCCCAGGAGCCGCTCAGAAAAGGTCTAGTGAAAGACAGAATGAAGCAAATTAATGCTCTGCCAGAAAGTGGAATAAAATGAAACAATTTAGGCCAAACTCGCTCTATGACTTTCTCTTGGCCTGCTGATACGTGTACGTTTTATAATCTTTCTTTTTTGGTTAGGGTCAGACTGACTTCTTGGACAATAATCAAAAGCAGGCACCGTGGCACTGCTTGTTGCAAAACTATGGGCAAGAGTCTAAACAAGCACCTTCTCTCTACTTTCATAATGCAATGATCCATTTATTGAATCTTTATCAACTATGATATCTATCATCTCTGATTCTGGTAAGTAGGAAAAGCTCAGTTCAGAAGTTCTCCTATTAGGGACAGAAATCCTTCTGTAAAATGCCTTCCCTTTAGCCTAGAAAGCCACATTTTTACAGCGAAGTACAAATGTACCCTGAGAAGTGTCACAGATACTTGTCTCATCTACCAGTCCCCCTGTTACAACACAGAGGTCCAGAGAGACATAATCGATGACTTAATCATTTATACCGCATATACAAGCGGTTCTGAAAATCTCTTGTCCAGAATAATCACATTAGCTGAATGTCTGTTTATTGAGCCACTCTCTCCCTCTCAGGAATCGGCCAATTCCTTTCATGGTTTCCCATAAAAATAGGCTGGAATACATATACAGGTCTGCGAAAATCGAGCCACAGAAAATACAAAAGATAAACAAGACTTCCAAAATTTCCTTCTCCGCCATGGCGTATACAATACTGCGAATCTCCATAAAGGATGTATTTAAAAAAAAAAAAAAACAACAACTATGTGGGATTCTTTAGTTGTCCTTGATGCAGCCGGTGCTGTGTAATTAATGGACCACATCACCCTCTAAAAGTAAGTGCTGCCCTTTGTCTAGTAAGATGCGACGACTGACCCGACATCAGTAAGCTCTGGACACCGGCTTGTCTGGTGGGACTTATGGCAGCGGGAAAGTCTCTTTTTAATACAGTGAACACGTACATAGATTCCCATGAAATGAGATAATTTGTCCCCTGTGGATGTTGCCCACATGAGGTAATAGTGACTCTTTTAAAAGGAACTGACATCTGGTGATGGGAAGTTACTTTTTCACTCTTCATTGTTATGAGGTCATGAACAAATGCTTTCTTACCAGTTAAGTTTTTATACAAAACTAAAAGTGTGTGTCACAGATTGACAGTCTCATAACATGACCTTTGAGGGCAAAGATGGTCCTGGGGTCAAGTAAATTTTTGGAAAATGCTGTAAAATTACGAGTCTCCGCTTCTTAGGGAGTTAAAAATGCACATTAGCATCTTTAATATTCTGAGAAGTGCTAGAGCAATGACATCTGTTTAACTTTGAATAACTCAGTATTTCCAAAAATTAATAATATCCCATTATTGGTATTCAAAAGGATATAGTAGAAAAAAACAAACACATACGGTCCCTTGGAAATTCTTAAGTGGCACTGCGGGGAAACAACAAAAAAAAAGATTTTAAGTTTGAAAAGTTTACAAACTGGGGATCCTGGGTGGCTCAGCGGTTTAGCCCCTGCCTTCAGCCCAGGGTGTGATCCTGGAGTCCGGGATCGAGTCCTGCTTCAGGTTCCCTGCAGGGAGCCTGCTTCTCCCTCTGCCTCTCTCTGTCTCTGTCTCTGTGTCTCTAATGAATAAAAAAATCTTTAAAAAAAAAAAAAAGTTTACAAACAGGAAGGAGTACAGAATAAATTGCAATTTGCAGACCAAAAAATACATTCGTTTAAATTCAGTAACTGCCCACCTATCCTGCAAGTCATGTTGGAAGAATGTTTTCTTCTCTTCCACATGCACACATGGAAATGTGTTTTCAAGCATGAATATGGGGAAACGTTTTGTATGAAATGAACAGTGCCAAGAAATCATATAGGGCTCTGGCTATATCAGTTAAATGGAATATGCTAAGGTGTCTTCTAAATTTTTTAAATGCTCATTATCATTCAGGTCAAGAAGGGATTACCGAATTTCAAAACACTTTCTGCTGGAGGGAACTACTATAAAATTGCATCAACTCATTAACCTAAATTCAAATTGGCATTTTCCCAACTTGGACTTACCACCGCCACTGCATTTGAAAGCAACAGTTCCTCGGCACTAATGGTCGTAAAGTAGGCCACATTTGTTAGCACGTAGCCAATGGTGACGATGGCCATGGATATACATATTGCAAGGGGGATGGTTCTGAAATGCACAAAGGAATTGCTTATTAGTTATCTTTTGTTAGTCATTCTCTGAAAGCGAAGACGGTACCATAACAGGCTAATTCAAACAAAGAATAAAATAGTGTGTATGATAATTATAGCCTCTGTTGAGTATGCATATTTTATCAGGGTGAAGTGCTACAGTCCTTTGCAATTTAATAAGGTCCATGGGAACAGGTACTTCATTTGTCTTGTCTACTGCGCTACCCTCAGAACATATGGGGCCATCCCACTCTTGTACTCCACAAATGCTACGGCAGTGTTTCTCACACTCGATCATGCATCACCTGGAAGGCTTGTTGAAACAGTTTGCTGATCCCACCTCAGAGTCTCTGATTCAGTAGGATTTGCCTTTCTAACAAGTTCCTGGGCAATTGTGCTGCTGCTGACCGGGGGACCGCGCTTGGAGAACCACGGGTCTATATACCTTTCTAATACTAATTGACTGCCTTGCCACCTTTCTAATGCTAGACCCCAAGAAGATCTTTCCCATTCAGCTTTCCGCCTTAGATAGCTTCCCTTATCAGCAAATAAGTCGTACACTTTGGGATGCATGAGAGCAAGATAGATCTACCATTCTAAATGATAGTGATGATAATTTTATATATGACACAAAAAGCACAGAAGCGCTCACAGTAATGACTTTGCACTGCCCTGCTGTGAGTTCAAAGGAAGCTCAAGATCATGAGTATCTATTAAAGCAACAGTGCAGATAATCCCATGAAATTAGAGGTGACATGCTGTGAAGTACATATGACCGGACAGTGCTGACACTCTGTGGCATCAAGAAGTACCCAGCACAAATGCAATGTTATGTCTTCATTTAATGCACTGGCAAAGCCAGGAGTTACTGACCCTAATAATTTGATTCCATGTTACCGATACACATTACTTGCTTAACATAATCACCTCTTCAGACTCTTTCCAGTTCAAGCAACTTAAACCTTCAGCTCCCTGCACAAAGGCTGATGGGTTTTTTAGCCATACAGCTTATCAGCCCTCATGGGGCCTTAGACCCTGCTGGGTGCCACTAATGAAGACCTCAATATAATTTCTTCCAAGATGAAAATACAGCTCAGAGCTGGGAGGGAAAAAAAAAAAAAGGCACAGCCTGCCTCACTCCCCAAGCTGGGTATGTTTAGCACACAAAGTCCCAGCTCATTATGCTGAACAGCACTATCCCCTGTTGAGAACAGGCAAAGCTAGCCAGTCAGCAACTGCCATTCATTATGCTGCTTGGAGCCTGACACTTCCCCTGATCCCCAAAGCCTGAAGCCTTGATGGGGAAACACATTGACCTCTAAATCCTGGCATCCTGATATAAAAGTAGCAGATGTTCCCCTTCCCCAGTGTGAAGAGGGTCCTGTGGAATTTTCTGTTAGCACCGTAACATGCATTGCTAGTTGTGATTGATAAATGCTAAATTTCAGCAGAGGAAATCACTAGGCCAATTAAATACAAAGGACTGAGTGGCATAAGGCATACTAAAGATGAATTCTGTTTCTTCGAAAGAAAGACTATACGTAAATGCAAAGGGCTAAGAAGGCGAACTTGCAGGTATATGTGCAGCTTTTCAAACATTCACTGTGTGATTTTAAACTTGAATCTTTTCTTTCTTTCTTCTTCTTCTTCTTCTTTTTTTTTTTTTTTTAACATCCCAAATGGTGTGTTAAGCTCCTTCTCTGGAGGAGAGAAGCAGGGAGGGAGGCAGGGAGAGAGAGGCTCTCTATTCCTTGCAAGAATGGGAGTAAGAAGTATAAAGTTTTCTGTTAATAAAAACTGAGGTGACATTGTTAAGTGCAGTGAAGTAACTAGCCTGTCCAGGACAAGTCCCATCATAGGACGCTGCAAATTAGCAGGGGAAGTCAGTCTGAGATCTGGGCTGTGACCCTCCCAGCATAGAATCTAGCCTCAGCTGGGCTTTTCCAAGGCAACCTCCTCACTTTCTGCTTCAAAATAATGGTATGTCTGAGGGATGTTTTCTGAATTGGTTTTAGCAGAAGGAAATCCTAAAAAAAAAAATCCAACTTTTTTTTCTCCACTTGTTAATGACAAAAACTATAGCACTAGCTACTGCCATTTACTTGGTGGCTGTTATGTGCCTGATATTTTATAAGGTACTTTACATATTTGCCTCATTTTATCTTCAGAAAATCCTGTGAGTTAGAAGCATCATCATCATTTTGTATATGAGGAAATTAAGTCTAAGAGAGTCTAAATAATTGTTTAAAGATACAGAACTGGTAAGTAGAAACCCAGAAGTCAACTGATCAATCCTAGCTCAAGTCACAGCTTTTTAACCACTAAGATGTACTCTCTTTCTCATGCATGTGGGTCCTCAATCTCTTAACTCTTAATTTTCAGAGAAATCATAATTGTTGAAATCATAATTGTTTGCAATCATATATAAGAGCTTTGCAAAGCTCTGATCAAGACCAAAAATGCAGTTTTACTTACCATAAAGGAGGGAAAAAAGTCATTCCGTGACTTTTACAATTTTTCTGTGTAACATGAGCTTTAAGGTCAAGTGGATGAACTTTTTTTTAATAAATTTATTTTTTATTGGTGTTCAATTTGTCAAAATACAGAATAACACCCAGTGCTCATCCCATTTAGTGCCCACCTCAGTGTCTGCCACCCAGTCACCCCCACCCCCCACCCATTTCCCCTTCCACCACCCCTAGTTCGTTTCCCAGAGTTAGGAGTCTTTCATGTTCTGTCTCCCTTTCTGATATTCCCTACCCATTTCTTCTCCTTTCCCCTTTATTCCCTCTTTCACTATTTTTTATATTTCCCAAATGAATGAGAAAGTGGATGAACTTTTGAAAAAAGTTTCAATGTTTATAAAATTTGGGGGTAGATTTAAAAGACAACAGAAGCTCACCTAATAAATCTCCCTAGACAATTTTTGCAGAAGAGGAGGAAAAGCAAGCATGTTTGTCAGAGAAGCTGAAATGTATAGATTATTAACAACTTTACTATCAGCCAGATATACTATATAGATTCTGGGGGGGGGGGTGGAATCAAAGAACTTAAACGATAAGACAAAAGTAAGTAAGGGTCCAACCTCGTTGCAATTCACAACATGCCCAGGAATTCCTCTCTCAGAAAATTAAGCCAGGGGAATTGGAGGGGGTGTGGCAAAAAAGCCAATGTCTTCTGTGCTCCAGTTCCATTGCATTTTGACAAAGGGAAGGAGGAGAAGAGCTTGCGGCTGCCTTGGCATAAACAGCAATCAATTACCAAGGAAAGCAGTTGACATGTTCAGAAGGGCTTGGCACCATGTGGTTAACTCCTGGGTTTCAAGCATCAAAGCTTAAGAGCCACTGGGTGAGCTGATAAAAGCTATTAGGCCATGCCAGAGCAATCTTTCTGGAGGCTTTAGATGCAGAGGGCAGATAAGCACAGTTAGTAACTCAAGATTAAGGCAAATGGCACGTGATAATAAAATGAATTAAAGGGACTAGTAGACCACTGATATTTCAAAGCCTTTGTGTTACTGTGAGGTATCCTCCAATTCCAAGTGCACCGAAAGCATTGTCTTTAAGCTGAATAAAAATAACTCATCCCTCTGAGTTCTACTCTTTTGTGAATGTTTGTGCATGCCTGTTATGATTAACAGGATACAGATGTATTGAAAAGAGTTACTCAATCCTCAAGACCTCTAGTCATTATACAAAGTCTTTTCAATTAAAGGCCATTAAGTGTGGCCTTTAATGTGAGAATCCAATAATTTTATTAGCTGCCCTTAGTTTTCAATCAGAAGGTCTTGGGCAGTCTTCCTTTCCTGCGGGCTTATTTTATTTTATTTTATTATTTTATTATTTTATTTTATTTTATTTATTTTATTTTATTTTTTCCCCGATGCAAACACACGAGGGCATGTGGGCTTATTTTAAATCGGTACCTATAACCAGTCTATGTCACACATGGATAAATACTTGTTTTCTTAGAAATTATTAAATGGAAGTCTCTGGAACATCTGCTTAAAAGCACTTCATTCTAAGGAATGAAGTGGAATCCAAAGGGTCCCGAAAGTAATGTCTGGTAGCTTATATTTGTATAATCTACAAAGCACTGACAAATACACGTTATCTTCAAATATACACACGTCATTCCAAATCCTTTGTGGAATGAGAAAGAGTATAGACGAATAACAAACAAAATTCGCAACAACCAAATAAGAGGTTGTCGAAATTGTTCCCACCCTTTTCAAACATGAGAACGAGAAGGCTCAGAAAGGTTCAGTGATGTGGTCAAGGTCACAAAAATAGTAAGAGGGAGGGTTGAAACTTGAGCCTACATCTTTCAGCTCTAAGCTCCACATTTACCATATATCTCTCGCCACATCACCCCTACTTTGTACTTGCTCTAACTCCAGCACGAGGTCCCTGGGATTCTCAGGTGCTGACATGTGTTTTATTCTGTATGATACAAATATCAGAAAACTGAATGTAACGATGTGACACGTCATGAGCCAAGTGTATTTCTCTAGGTTCCACGTAGTTCTCATGAATAAACCTGCAAATAATAAATATACCATGGGATGCATTTTTTGATGTGCTCTGCAACTGTGATAGAGCATCAGAAATGACCACTGTTTCCAAGGGTTTATGTGGACTCTTGCTACAAACACCAAATGAGTAAACCTAGCTTGATTCTCCAGAGATCTGAGGACACCTGAAGCTATAGGGATTTCTGAGGTTCAAACCATATGAGTAATTTAGTAATCACTTGAATTTAGAATATTCCTAAAATTGTTTGATCAAAATTTTCTCATTTTGTGAACCAAAAGAAGTTCCACACAATCCTCAGTGTTGCGGTGCATACAATCGAGACCACAGAACGCACTGATCCTGGGGCATCTAAAATTGTCTTTGAGCCGTGGGACTGGGCATATGACAATCTTAAAGCCTGCTCTTTTTGTGTTCAAGAATCTTCTAAGGGAAGTGACTGATGTTTCACAATTTCTTTTTTTTT